TGAGTCCGCTAAGAAATACCTTGTGGGAGTTCAGTGAGTTGCCCATTAGGACGGCTGGGATTTCAACTCTATGTAACTTGGAATTATACTAATGCAGCTGCAACCACGCCAATGTTCTGAACTACTGGAGGCACTCTCATCAGCTCAGGCGAGCCCTTGCTTACGTAGGACAGTCGGCAAGTATAATCCGCTTGCTCGGACCCTCTAGGGCAGGGACTCTGTAGTCAGAGTCCCTTGTGCAGCCCTAGAGGTGAACGACCATTAGCCCAAAGTAAGCACAAGGTTTTCAGAGAGGAACAACCAGAGGACAAAACAAGGAATAAATCGCGGCAGCAAACTAGAGGGAGGGGATCAGTGAGAACTCACAAGAGGTATTTAAGATGCTTGCTTGGGTGATGCGTCTACTCATCTCTCCGGGATCTGTATTACGGACGGGTGATGCGCAGTGATCCTCAACGCAGAGTCCACATCAGGTCAATACCTGTGCGATGACTCAGAAGAATGCCTGGCCAGGGCTTCCGAGCAGATGTTTCAGCAGGAGTCTCAGGGCCCCACGTTGGGCGCCAGTTGTCCCGGCCCACGGGACGAACGTGGAGTGTGCCGGAGACGCCTGCAGAAATGAAACAAGCAAGAGACACAAAGAACGACCAGCAAGACAGGATGTCTGATCAAGCTGGCGAAGTTTATTGTTTACAGGCTCAATTTATACAAGTAGCAAGTAAGCGGTGGGTCAGGAGATAATTGGACCTTAGGTGGTGCTGGCGGGGAGGTGTTTTCACACATCCTCAAGGTCTCCCTATTTTCAGAGTGAGGAGTCTTGGCCCATCTTCAAGGACAAGATACGTTTTTGGGAGCAGATAACTTCCAAGGACTGCACCGGTTGCTCTCAAGCTTGTGCTTTCCCATGCTGCGTTCAGACGTGGGGGAAGGTACATAGCCCCGACTCCCAACATATTACTTTCTTCTTTCTTTGTTTCTTTCATCTTTCTTTCTCTCTTTCATTCTTTTCTTTCCTTTAGTCTTCCCTTCTCTTTTTCTTTCTCTACCATTCTTTCTTTCTTTTGTCTTTTCACTTTCATTTTTCTCTCCTTGCTTCCTTCATTCTTTCTTTCTATCTTCTTTTTTGCCTCTTTCATGTTTTTCATTCATTCTTCTCATTTCTTTCTTTCCTTTATTTTATTTACTTTCTTCTTTCCTTCTTCCTGCTTTCATCTTTCTTTCTTTCTTCTTTCTCAAGTCTTTCATCTTTCTTTCTTTCACCTTCCTTTCATTCTTCTTTCTTTCCTTCATTCTTACTTTCTTCTTTCATTCTTTTTTCTGTCTTTCTTTCTTCTTTCTTCTTTTGCCTTCCTTTCTTTCTTTCGTTCTTCTTTCCTTCATTTTACTTTCTTCTTTCTTTGTTTCTTTCATCTTTCTCTCTTTCCTTCCTTTCTTTCCTTTAGTCTTCCTTTCTCTTTTTCTTTCTTTCCCATTCTTTCTTTCTTTTGTCTTTTCACTTTCATTTTTCTCTCCTTGTTTCCTTCATTCTTTCTTTCTTTCTATCTTCTTTTTTGCGTCTTTCATGTCTTTCATTCATCTTTCTTTTCTTCCTTCCTTTCCTTTCTTTTCTTTTCTTTCTTCTTTCTTTCTTCTTCCTGCTTTTGTCTTTCTTTCTTTCTTCTTTCTCAAGTCTTTCATCTTCTTTCTTTCACATTCCTTTCATTCTTCTTTCTTTCTTCTTTCATTCTTTTTTCTGTCTTTCTTTCTTCTTTCTTCTTTTGCCTTCCTTTCTTCTTTCCTTCTTCTTTCCTTCATTTTACTTTCTTCTTTCTTTGTTTCTTTCATCTTTTTTCCTTCTTTCCTTCCTTTAGTCTTCCTTTCTCTTTTTCTTTCTTTCCCATTCTTTCTTTCTTTTGTCTTTTCACTGTCAATTTTCTCTCCTTGTTTCCTTCGTTCTTTCTATCTTCGTTTACTTCTTTCATGTCTTTCATTCATTCTTTCTTTCTTTTCTTCCTTTCTTTCCTTTCTTTTCCTTGTTCTTTCTTTCTACTTCCTGCTTTCATCTTTCTTTCTTTCATTCTTCTTTCTCGTCTTTCACCTTTATTTCTTTCTTTCATCTTCCTATCATTCTTCTTTATTTCCTTCATTCTTTCTTTCTTCTTTCATTCTTTTTTTCTGTCTTTCTTTCTTCTTTCTTCTTTTACCTTTCTTTCTTTCTTTCATTCTTCTTTCCTTCATATTACTTTCTTCTTTCTTTGTTTCTTTCATCTTTCTTTCTGTCTTTCCTTCCTTTCTTTCCCTTAGTCTTCCTTCTCTTTTTCTTTCTTTCTTTTGTCTTTTCACTTTCATTTTTCTCTCCTTGTTTCCTAGGTTCTTTCTTTCTTTCTGTCTTCTTTTTTGCGTCTTTCATGTCTTTCATTCAATCCTTTCTTTTCTTTCTTCCTTTCCTTTCTTTTCTTTTCTTTCTTCTTTCTTTCTGCTTCCTGCTTTCGTCTTTCTTTCTTCTTTCTCATGTGTTTGATCTTTCTTTCTTTCACCTTCCTTTCATTCTTTTTCTTTCCTTCATTCTTTCTTTCTTCTTTCATTCTTTTTTTCTGTCTTTCTTTCTTCTTTCTTCTTTTGCCTTCCTTTCTTTCTTTCGTTCTGCTTTCCTTCATATTACTTTCTTCTTTCTTTGTTTCTTTCATCTTTCTTTCTCTCCTTCCTTTCTTTCCTTTAGTCTTCCTTTCTCTTTTTCTTTCTTTCCCATTCTTTCTTTCTTTCTTTTGTCTTTTCACTTTCATTTTTCTCTCCTTGTTTCCTTCATTCTTTCTATCTTCTTTTGCTTCTTTCATGTCTTTCATTCATTCTTTCTTTTCTTCCTTTCTTTCCTTTCTTTTCTTTCTTCTTTCTTTCTACTTCCTGCTTTCATCTTTCTTTCTTTTTCTTCTTTCTGAAGTCTTTCACCTTCATTTCTTTCTTTCATCTTCCTATCATTCTTCTTTCTTTCCTTCATTCTTTCTTTCTTCTTTCATTCTTTTTCTCTCTTTCTTCTCTCTTCTTTTACATTCCTTTCTTTCTTTCTTCTTTCCTTCAGATTACTTTCTTCTTTCTTTCTTTCATCTTTCTTTCTCTCTTTCCTTCCTTTCTTTTCCTTAGTCTTCCTTTCTCTTTTTCTTTCTTTCCCATTTTTCTTTCTTTTGTCTTTTCACTTTCATTTTTCTCTCCTTGTTTCCGTCATTCTCTTTTTCTTCTCTCTTATTTTTTGCCTCTTTCATGTCTTTCATTCATTCTCCTTTCTTTTCTTCCTTTCTTTCCTTTACTCTTTTCTTTCTTTCTTCTTCCTGCTTTCGTCTTTCTTTCTTTCTTCTTTCTCAAGTCTTTCACCTTCTTTTCTTTCTTTCACCTTCCTTTCATTCTTCTTTCTTTCCTTCATTTTTTCTTTCTTCTTTCATTCTTTTTTTCTGTCTTTCTTTCTTCTTTCTTCTTTTGCCTTCCTTTCTTTCTTTCATTCTTCTTTCCTTCATTTTACTTTCTTCTTTCTTTGTTTCTATCACCTTTCTTTCTCTATTTCCTTCCTTTCTTTCCTTTAGTCTTCCTTTCTCAGTTTCTTTCTTTCCCAATCTTTCTTTCTTTCTTTTGTCTTTACACTTCCATTTTTCTCTCCTTGTTTCCATCATTCTTGCTTTCTTTCTATCTTCTTTTTTGCGTCTTTCATGTCTTTCATTCATTCTTCTTTCTTTTCTTCCTTCCTTTCCTTTCTTTTCTTTTCTTTCTGCTTTCTTTCTTTCTTTCTTCTTTCTCAAGTCTTTCATCTTTATTTCTTTCAACTTCCTTTCATTCTTCTTTACTTCATTCTTTCTTCGGTCATTCTTTTTATAGGTCTTTCTTCGTTTTTATTCTTTTGACTTCCTTTCTTTCTTTCATTCTTCTTTCCTTCATATTATTTTCTTCTTTCTTTGTTACATTCATATTTCTTTCTCTCTTTTCTTCCTTTCATTTCTTTAGTCTTCCTTTCTCTTTTTCTCATTCCCATTCTTTCTTTTGTCTTTTCACTTTCATTTTTCTCTCCTTGTTTCCTTCATTCTTTCTTTCTTTCTTCTTTGTTACTTTCCTTCTTTCTTTCTTTGTTTCTTCTTTCTTTCTTCCTTTCTTTCGTTCCTTCATCTTTATTTCGTTCCTCCTCTCTTTTTACTTTTTTCTTATTCTTTCATTTTTTCTTCATTCTTTTTTCTTTCTTTCTTCACCTTTCATCTTGCATTCATGATTTCTTTCTTTTTTCTTTCTGCCTTTGCTTCTTTCCTTCCTTCCTTCATCTTTATTTCGTTCTTTTTTTCTTTTTTCCTTCTTATTCTTTCTTTTTTTGTTCTTTCCTTTTTCATCTTTTATCTTGCAGTCTTACATTCTTTATTCTTTCTTTCCTTTCTTTCTTTTCTTCCCTTTTTCCTTCCTAACCTTTCTTTTCTACTGTCTTTCATCTTTCTTTCTTTTTCGTTCTTTTATCTTCTTTTCTTCTCTTATTCTTTGTGTTGAACTGCTTTATTTCTTTCTTCTTTCTCTCTTTGTTCCTTTCCTCCATTCATTCCTTCCTTTGTGCTTATTTTGTTACTACAGTCTTTTTTCTTTCTTTTCTTTCTTCTTACATTCTTTCTTTTCTTCATCTTTCCACTTGCATTCTTACTTTCTTCTTCTTTCTTTCCTCTTTCTTTTTTCCTTTTTCGTGTCTTTCTTTTCCACTGTCTTTCATTTTTCTTTTTTTCTGTCTTCTTTCCATCTTTTTCTTTCTTTCTTCTTTCAGTCTTTTTTCTTTTGTTCTTCTTATTTTCTTTCCTTTTTCATCTTTCATATTGTAGTCTTTCATTCTTTCTTCTTCTCTTCCTCTTTCTATTGTTTCTTCCTTGTTTCCTTTCTATCCTGTCTATTCTACTGTCTTTCATCATTCTTTCTTTTTCATTCTTTTTTGTCCCTTTCTTATTTTTCTGCCTGTCTAACTTTCTTTCTTTCTTTCTTTCTTTCTTTCTTTCTTTCTTTCTTTCTTTCTTTCTTTCTTTTTTCTTTCTTTCTTTCTTTCTTTCTTTCTTTCTTTCTTTCTTTCTTTCTTTCTTTCTTTCTTTCTTTCTTTCTTTCTTTCTTTCTTTCTTTCTTTCTTTCTTTCTTTCTTTCTTTCTTTCTTTCTTTCTTTCTTTCTTTCTTTCTTTCTTTCTTTCTTTCTTTCTTTCTTTCTTTCTTTCTTTCTTTCTTTCTTTCTTTCTTTCTTTCTTTCTTTCTTTCTTTCTTTCTTTCTTTCTTTCTTTCTTTCTTTCTTTCTTTCTTTCTTTCTTTCTTTCTTTCTTTCTTTCTTTCTTTCTTTCTTTCTTTCTTTCTTTCTTTCTTTCTTTCTTTCTTTCTTTCTTTCTTTCTTTCTTTCTTTCTTTCTTTCTTTCTTTCTTTCTTTCTTTCTTTCTTTCTTTCTTTCTTTCTTTCTTTCTTTCTTTCTTTCTTTCTTTCTTTCTTTCTTTCTTTCTTTCTTTCTTTCTTTCTTTCTTTCTTTCTTTCTTTCTTTCTTTCTTTCTTTCTTTCTTTCTTTCTTTCTTTCTTTCTTTCTTTCTTTCTTTCTTTCTTTCTTTCTTTCTTTCTTTCTTTCTTTCTTTCTTTCTTTCTTTCTTTCTTTCTTTCTTTCTTCTTTCTTCTTTCTGTCCTTTTCCAACTTTCATATTATATCTTTCTTTCTTCTTTCATTCCTCTTTCTATCTTTTATCTTCTTCATTTCTTTCCTTTCTTTTCTATTGTCTTTCATTTTTCCTTCTTTCTCTTTCTTTCATTCTTTTCGCTTTCTTTCTTCTTTCCTTCTTTCTTTACTTCCTTCATCTTTATTTCTTTCCTCCTGTCTTTGTTCTTTGCTTCATTTTCTTTCATTCATCTTTCTACCTTTCTTGCATTTTTCATCTTTCATCTTGCATTCTTACATTCGTTCTTCTTTCCTTCCTCTTTCTT